ACTCTGTTTCATTATGCAGTCATATGTGAAATTATCATGTATTTTTTTGATACCTATAGGGAGAAATATTAGACAGGCCTATGTGAAGATATGGAGTTTGCCTGACATGCTTACATATTTTGTGAATAGATCATAATATACCTTTTTAATGGGATATTTGTGAACTTTCAGCTTTACTAACTAAGGTCTGACATACTGGCAGTGGTTCGGTTCAGTTCAGTTCCTGGTGGATGAAAAACCAAACGTGAGCCAACAGCATGCTCTTGCAGCTCAGAATGTAAATGGTATCCTGGGCTCCATCAGAACAGGGATGGCCAGCAGGGACAAGGCGATATTTGTCCCTCTCTACTCTACCCTCCTGAGGTCCCATCTGGAGTACTGTGTCCAGGTCTGGGGCTTTCAGTACTGGAAAGACAGAGAGGTGTTGGAGAGGTCCGGAAGAGGGCAACGAAGATAATCAGCTGGAGCACCTCCCCTCCAAAGACAGGCTGGGGGAGCTGGGCTTGTTCAACCTGGAGAAAGAAGGCTGCAGGGTGACTTCATTGCAGCCTTCCAGTACCTAAAGGGAGCCTATAAACAGGTGGGGAGTCGATTCTTTACAAGGGTAGATACTGGCAGGACAAAGGAAAATGGTTTTAAATTGAAGGAGGGAAGATTTAGGTTGGATATCAGAGGGAAGATCTTTACCAAGAGAGTGATGAGGTCCTGGAACAGGCTGCCCAGAGAGGTTGTGGATGCCCTGTCTCTGGAGATGTTCAAGTCATGGTCAGCCTGGTCAAGTATTAGATATGGAGGTTGGTGGGCCTGCTGTGGCAGGGGGTACGGGCTTGATTATCCTTGAGGTCCTTTTCAACCCAAGCAATTCTGTGATTCTGTGATTCACTAGGAGGAGGTCATAGTGGACACCAGTCAGTTCATTCTGTGTACTAGTGTCTTAGAACTGAGATTAAGAGGAAATCCTCTCGCATTGGGATACATAGAAATCTTTGTTAGGCAATCCATGTTCTTCTTTTTTCTCATTAATAGCTTGTTAAAGAATAATCCTTTGCCAGCAATAGGCATGTTAGTTGTGTCAATTTCGATAGTAAAAGTTTTGTTCCAACGCTATGGAAAGGAAAAGATTTCAACGAATGTTCCTCTGCTCCAGCACAACAAATTGCATTTTGACAACCTTATTTCTATTTTCATGTAATTATTAGTAGTCAATACTTGATGGCAATATTGCTTCAGCCAACTATTTGTTCAACCCCAACAATTGTACATTCAAGCCATTATCACTTAAATATGATGGAATATAGACGGCAGAAAATATGTCCACCTGCAAAAGCCTATTTTGTTCGTATTACCAAAATAAGAGAAACTTGGAAGGATTGCTAGTCCAGTTCCCTCTGGTTGACATCCCTTCCTCATTTCATATCAACTGCACCAGTCAGCTTGATGTTATCAGATAGTACTGCCTGTGTCATTGATAAAGATGTTGAACAACATTTGTCCCAAAATAGATATCACTTAGGACTGGCTTCTACTTGGACACAGATCCATTGACTGCAGCCCTCTGGCTCTGACCATTCAACCAACTCTTTATCCACTGAATAGCCTAGCCTTCAAATCTGTATTTCTTCAATTTAGAGATAAGAATATGGTGCGAAAACATGTCAAAGGCCTTGCACAAGTCCAGGTAGACATCTTTGCTTCTCCTTTGTCCACTAGTGTCATCACTCCATCATAGAAGGCCATAGATGTTCTGATATAAACTCCGAATCCATTGCTTTCCAATTTTTCTGTGAGCAGCTAAACTGTGGTTGCTGATGGTTCCTTTCAAAGGGTGAGAGATTTAGAGATGACTGGCTGTGGCTTATGCAATGGAAGCCAGTTTAGTGTTTATTTTGAAATTTTATAGGAAAGTAAAATTCTGGCCTGTTTTTTTAATCCAACCATTTCAGTCCATGTCTTCCTTTTATCTACTGCTGTGTCAACGATCTATTCAGTACAAATAAGAGGCCTTGTGCTGTGATTGGTCTGTGAGATTGACCTATTTTTGAAACCCATCAACGCAACATGCACTTGTATACTCAAAGTGGTATTTTTTCTGATACAGATATAGATCAAGAAATCTTTGAAGCTTAAATAAGTAAAAAAAAAAAAAAAAAATAGGCAATGAAGTAAACAATGAAAGAAAATAAGTTTTTTTTTCCTTATTCTAGATTTATCTCAGTATTCTTGTCTCAGTCCTCAAAATATGAAGGATGATAGTTAGGAAATGAATGCAATACATGAAGTGCATATTTAACATCTATTTGGTTTCCAAAAAAAGAATTGCAGTATGGCTACCAGAAGCATAATGGTTTTCTGCTTAATGTATTTATGCTGGCTGTAAAATTAGGAACTGTCATTATAACCCCACAAAGCCTGAGCAAGTGCAAGACACGTAAATCAAGAGGTTCTACTGCTATAAAAATGTCAATGATCTGAATGGCTTGAAAGTATTGAAAGATATTTGTGTACATGTATACCAGCTACTAGGATACAGACATCAATAGAGGATTTAACTGACAAATGTTAAAGCTGAGATCCAGCCCTCTTGTGCTTACTATTTAACTCACTGACCTTGAAGTGGTTTTATTTGAGCTGTAGAACTCAGAGCATCCCAAGTACTAGGAACAGACAACTTACTTGCAAATATAATTCAAAGTTAAGATACTGTTTTAATGTGTTATACAGTCTTCATGCTTTTTATTCAAGTTATTATACTCTCATGCAAAAAAATGCAATTAACATAGAACTGGAAGCAATATTCTGTATGTAATGGATACACTTTAAAAGGCAGTGGATTGTAAAGGAGTGATATAGTGCAGGAAACAGAAAATGAAATGGGAGACAAATTGCAAGTGGAGATGTGTTCAGAAAATGTGTGGAAACCATAACACAGTCTAGATGGAAGAATGAAAAGACCTAAAGGATTTGAGCACAGTTAGCTGTTCTTTCAGAGGTTGTTTTTGCTTACTGTAATGCTCCTATGGAGACTACTGTGAAGCAATGCCTGACAGTCCAGAACTGAGAATTTCTTTTTTGTTATCAGCTGATTATAAATGAAATTACATTAAATAAAAAGCTTGCAGAGCCAGTTCATAACAATGGGGACACTGATAATCTTTACAATGCCATATATTTTGTTTAGTCCCATAACTAAACCTAAAGCTTCTGTTAGAAATAAGAGTTACAACTCCTGTGCATGCAAGCCTTTGATAATATGTCTGGAGGCTTATTAAGGAGGTAAGAGGGCTCATCTTTAAGTCTGTGTCTGCAAAAATAATTTTTTAAAAGCCTTAGTTGCTAGAAAATTTGATGTGCTCTGACTATTTTTCATGAAACAGGCATTACAGTAAAAAGCAGGCGCCATTATAACTATGGAAAAGATGAGACAGTGTGAAAAGAAGCAAAATTATTTAGGATCAGAAGATACATATGGAAAAATATAGGAGTGAATAAGTGAATACTTAAAACTAGAAAAAGAAGAATATTATGCTGATGTGTCTGGTCAGCGACTATACTGACTAAAGCTGAAAAATCCCTGCAACATATAAGTGTATTACCAACTTCAGTTACGCTGCAAAGCAGAAGTTTTGAAGAAAGCTTATTTTCATATGTTGCTACCATTAGTATCCTTGAATATATCCTGAGAAAAGGATTTAAAAAAAATACTGGGTCTACAGCAGTCACCATTTGTAATTATGAGCTATTGCCTGAATCTGTTTGCGATGAAGCCACCTGTTTGCTCAGTATAAATAGCTTAGAATTTCCTGCAAGGAAATTACACGAAGCATCAATAAGGAAAGATATTACATTCTTAGGTCAATATGACTATCATTACTTGGCATATATCTTACTGATAACATTTGGCAGACAGTATCATAGAGGGCTAAAAAAATGTTACTCTGTATTTTTTTTTCAGGAATGTTAGCTTAGGTCTTCAGTAACAGCATTTATCCATTCTGCTTGTTTTAGTGAATCCCTTGGCATTTTCTTTTTCTTAGCGTGTGTTGTAAAGAGGTTGCAGAGGCTTAGACCATCAGTGTTTTTGGATGTAAATGTTTTACACGCTTCAAAACGTGACCTCTTCTGTTTGTTATGGATATGCCTGACTTTGTCACAAAGACAGAAAAAGAAGGGAAACTTCCTGCAGCCCTTTGTCCTCTTCTCTGCTCAAGTGACAAATATAGATTGGACCTAAGAAGAAACCTCAGTTTGCAGTAGTAGATGCTTATTCTTGCCTCTACTCAGAATTGATTTCTGGCTTTATGCTACTGGCATGAAGAGTTTCACAAAAGATTAGTTTTATGATTTCCCTGCTTGTGTAGTTATGTGTGCCTTTAAAACACAACCATCTATCACTCTATCTTTTAGAGTAGAAGCTAGTTTCAAGTATCTTTTCTAGCAGTTAACATGGATATCTGGAACACTACAGTACTTGTAAATAATACCATACCTGTACTTTGGAGAATGCTCGACAACTCAGATGTGATGATAAGACAGCTGTTACTAAGTGTTGACTTTTTAACATGGTGTTTACTTCATTTCAGATAAATCTCTCTCGTATCTTCTTAACTCCTAAGTAATATTTAATTCTCATTAGATTTACAGTTAGCATTTTTTTCAGTAGTATTTTTCAGTAATTTCTGTGTGCTGTCATAGCATATGTACAAGAAACCTTCCACAGGGGCTATTTGAGTAAACTATTCATTTTCAGAGTTCTTGTACTTTTAAATAGGTGTTTATTTATTTATTTTTTTCTTTCCTTCTTTGTTTTCAAAGAGAATCCTTTTATCCTCAAAATTTGAGTCACTGAAAATTATGTACTAGTTATACTTACTGTGTGCAAGATAAATTTTAAATTAACACTGGTATTTAAAATGCAGAACATATTTCAATAATGTGAAATATTGTGATCAGGGAATAGAAATGAATTTGCAGACCTTGCAACATAACTGTTTTTTATTCAGTTATAGGTGCCCAACGCAGGAGAAGTCCCAGTGCCCTTGCCATTGAAGTATTTGAATCTCATTTGGGAAGTCACATTTTACAGGTAAAAAAAAAAAAAAAGAAAGAAAAAAAAGGCTTTTCCATGACAAAGTCAAAATAGCTAGTCAATCCTATTTCTGCCCATAGTTTGAAAACTGTTGGTGTCAGTATTTATAAAAAGTCATATTTCTTTCCTTTTAGAAAAGCCCATGCTTGGGACAGTTTTAAGGAGAGGGAGGGCATGTATTGTGTAGATAAATGTTATGTTATTTTCAACTGTGCAGTACGTCTGCTTGCAGAATGACTCTATGTTTTTGTGTGTGTGCATAAAACAGTATTTTTTGTTGTTTATTTCATTTTCCTTGTGTGTCATGTACAAATTTAGGGTGTTTTTCCCCCACTTTGTTTTATGAGCACTGCTTTCCTCTTTGATATCACATTTGTCATGATTATATATCACAAATCTGCAGCAATCTGTAAAGAGGAAAAATGAACAGCAGCATGCCTCTTTGGTTTCCTTAGCTATGAGATAAAAACTAATGAGATATTTGTCAAAGAATTTAGTCACACTGTTCAAGTAACTGTATTCCAGGAGGATTACTCTGAAAAAAAAAAAAAAAAAAACCCACCAGTAACCTGATGGAGATGTTCTTGTGCATGTTTTGTTTTGTCAGGATTAGTACAACCCTTCTTACTTTGCAATAATCAAAAGTGGAGCAGAAGCAGTTAAGAGTGTGAAGTGTTCTGTCAGCAAGGCAAAAACACAGCACCATAGAAATTAAAAAAACACCCTTTAGATGTAGCCTTTTCTAACTACAGCATTGAATAACTGCACTTATTTAGGAATGTACACAGCTTCTCTATGCAAATATATTGCTTGGTGTATTATCTTTTGAGAGGTAAATTAGGATATTATCATGAGAAATATTCCACTTAATTTGAAATGATTGAGAGCTATCTCTCTCTGTGTTACTTCAGCTGTGGCATTCAAAAGCACTGCAGAATATGTCAGATTTTTTACATCTTTTTAAAGTAACTAAATGCTGAATGGCAACAAAGATAATTTTAGGAAAACATGAAATTAACCACTAGAATGAATTTATCTTTGGAGCAAAAATCATGAATGAAGTTATTTACTTACTTGTACATTCTTGGCAGAGACATAGTTCAAGTTTTTGATTCTGTAACAAATATTTGTATTATAGATATGGTACCAAAGGTATGCACCACCATCTGCAGCACTGTTTGAATATTAGACAGAAGTGCTGTTATGTTGTCTTGTAAATGTAGAAGAAAAAAGAATAAATAAATGTGGGTTTCATGATATTCCAATTTGTGTCATTTGTGTTTTGAGTATGTGGACATGCCCTATATATCCTAGGTGTATGCTTATTACAATATAAATTATAACAAGTATCTAGATAAACTCTCATTGGGACTGATTTATTTATACTTGTTAGTTACTAGGTTTGACACTGTATGAATAATTCAGTTATAAGAAAAAAACTAAGTTGTCCACCTTGAAACCTACTGGACATTTCAATTTTTCACTGATTGTGTATTTAAGAATATTTAGTGTTTTTATTACTTGTTTAAACTTGTTTAAAAAATATTCCACTATTGTTTTTATTTTTTTCTACTTATACCTAATAAATTAGGGCGTTTTTTGGATATAACTTTATCATAGTGCTTGTAAGTAATCTATGTTGCACTTTTATCTGTAACAAATAGACTGAGAATTTTCAATATTTCAAGAATTCAAAATTGCCATCAACATCTTACTGAATATCTGTTGAGGTGTTGCCTTTGCAGAGAGGGTGGTGCCTTTTATCAAATTACTCCCATTAATCTCCCAATTGATAATAGAAACTTACACTCTGACATTTAAAAGATAATAGACTGTTGGTGATGGATACAGGACAAAATGAATTAATAATATCACAAGTTTATCATGGTGTGTCAAAATCTTCTCTTATGTAGTAGAGTAGTCAGCACTTTGAAGGAAAATTTAGGTCTTGTGTTCAAATGCAGCAATTTAAAAGGATCTGAACTTTGAATAATTGCCTTGAGGCATTACAGGTAGAAAAATAATCTCAGGAAGATAGAAGATAAAATAACAACAACTAGATGGACTCTTCAATGGAGTGCTATTCTAACAAGTTCTTGTTTAATTTGCTGCTTATAGAAACGATTCACAAAGCAGCATTATGATATGTATTGTTTGCAAGTGAAGTAAACAGCCTTGTAGAATAATTATACCTTGTGACTACCTCTGTTTTTTTTGGAGTCTGCTATCTGAGGAAGTTGAACCTATAGTTTGTTTAATCCCTCTTGCTATTAATATTTTGAAGACTGGGTTAAGTGTAAGCTGAGAAATTAAGGAGCCTCTCTAATCCTCCTAATATTTTGATACTTCAAAATTTATTGACAAACATGAGAAGCATGCTTATAAAGGTGGATGTAATTTATTTATGATGATTTTAAAATAGAAATGGTGGTGCATCTTGTAATATTTTACATCTGACTTCTACAAGCAAGAAGTCTCAGCTGTGTCAGAAAATTCCTAGCCATAGCCAATTACAATTATATGTCATACTGAACAGATTCCTGTGGTAAGTTTACAGACAAGGAAAATATCCCCCGTGTGTTTACAGAAAAAAAAAAAAACCAACCCAAAACATGAATACCTACATGTTGTCATACAAGTATCTTCAAAGTCAGGGCAGAATACTTTTTAAGCATTTCCAAGCAAAATCACCCGAATAGAAAAAAGAGAAATGTTTGTAATAAGGGGGGAAGAAGGGGGAAGGTAATGGCAATAAGTTAATTATTTTTTGGTAAAATTTTTGGCTTGTCAGATTGCGTGCTTTGGTTAGCCTGCATTTATCTTCTTCAGAATAGTGGTGTTATAGTGAAAATAGACTTTGATACATTTTCGGTTTTACATTTTTACGTATGTGTCAGCATTTATTAAATAAATGTAGTAAAAAAAGTATTACTTCCTCCCCCTGCTATTAAAAATGTGATTGAAACTGGTTGTAAAAATGAAAATTATTGGTTTATATAAGGCCCCTGAATTTTTTCTGTAACTTCATTGCTACTGAAAAGGTGTGGAAAAGGGTCAATAACCCCATATTCTTCACATAATCAGGAATGATCAGGAAATGTAGAACTAAATATAGAGAAAAGGGAAAGTTAGTGAATATATTTGCATATGCAAATTAGCTTAATTGATACTGCTTGCCTCTACAGGGATTTTTCATTACAAACTGGAGTGCTACATTGTTCAGCTCATATTGAGTAATTTAGTAACTAATGAGACCAGTTTGCACTAATTTGCATATGATAAATGAGCTTAATTGCAGTAAATAACTTGGAGGCATAATTACTTAATTTTCCTGTGTTGCATGGCTTTTAAGTTCACGTATGAACAACTCAAGATAATTTTGCATATTTAAATTAGTTGCTTTTAAAATTCTTGAACAAAAAAGAACGCACCTTACAGTTTGAACTGTAAAACAATTAGAAGTAAAATGTGCTGTATTTTCAAATAAAATTCAATATTTATAAAAGATATTTCTTCGTTATAAATACTTCATCTTAAGGAATAAATATTTGGAATTAAACACAATGGAATAGCTTTTAAAGTCAGAAAAGGATAGAAGGAGGGTATTAGTAATATTAATTGAACTATGTATCTGAACTGCAGTGAGTGGTACATTATGTATTCCTGCATACAGGAGTGATAACTTTTGTAATTGCATTCTTTGCTTCAACACCTATTCTACTGTTAAAAAACTGTAACGCTTCCATATAGGGTTATATTACCATAGACAATAACTTAGACATTAGTTGTCTTAATTGCATGTACCATGTTCTCTCTTCCCATCTACTTACTTTTGTCTGAAGAAATCTTTAAAGCAACAAGATGCTAAAGTGCTGGAGTGCAGAAAACTTTTTTTTTTTTTTTCAGATGTTGAGTGGTGAGCACTATCATTAGTAACCATTGTGATAGAGATTCCTACCAGAAATTTATGCGTGGTTGTTTTGCAAGCGGATGGCATAGAGTTAGAAGCCACAAGAAAGAAACCACATACTTTAGGGATCCAGGATTGTAGCGCTGCTCATAATTCAGAAAGGATACCTGTACTGGATGTGCAGTTGTACTAAGATACCTGAGCCAAGTCATCTGTAGAATGTTCAAGTGCTATTAGGTCCTATTCACATTGCAGCAGCCTCATTATCAGCATAGACTTGATCACGTAAGGCAAATCTAGAATGGGAGCACCATCTGAACTCCCTGAAAGCCATGTATGGTGCAAATGGCATGGTTTGGCTTTATTCCATACAATAGTCCCAGGCTCTCCTTGAATGTGAAGGGCAGTCCCGTGTTAGAGAAACCACAGGCTAATAAATCAATTGATGTATTATATTAGCTTTTCTGTAAATAAGATAAACAAGAAAACTAACCACACATGGCCTATGAATGTAAGAACCCTGATACATTGCCAATCTTGTGAGCAAATGAAAAATGTCTTTCATCCTAACAACTTTTGTTTTGTTTTAAAATATACTATTTTTATTAATAATTGAGGGTAGATTTTGATTAGATGTAAGGAAGAAATTCTTTATAATGAGGGTGATGAAGCACTGGATGTTTCCATTTTCTTGTGATTATGCACTTAAGGCAGTTTATGTATTGGTGTTTCCAAATACAAGAGGTAGAGAAGCAAATACACAATTTGAAAGAAACTTCCATATCAGAATTTATTCTCTATTGTTCATGTGGGTCTTGTACTTAGTTATTTCTGTTATTAGTTTTGCAGCTGTGACTCTCTTTGAAGGACAATGTTATTCTATCAAGCTTGACATAGACAAAATGTAGAGAGAATTCACTATGCATCTTCACTACAATGTTTAGTCATGTTTGGAAGATGTTTCGATTTACCTATAACTATTACATTGAACATAACAAGACAGTGCCACTATTCATTTTCTCCTAGAGACAGCTTACCAGAGTGCATGTGAGTGAAGATTTTCATGCATTGTAAATATGAATGTTCA